GTACAGTTCAGAGATTGTGGCTTTGTTGAGGAGTGCATGGCTGCAGCTGGGTTGTCTGTTACGGAGATAAGCGTTGATAGCTCCACGTAATTTGGGCGCTGCTTGCATGTGAGTTTTGCCTCGTCCAGGAATCACTCCCTTTGGTGGGCGAGAGGCCCGTGGTGGTTGAGTAGAAACTGCTGTCCGGAGACGCAGCTGGTTTCGTCGAACTGCTTTCGATAGCACAACGGGATACGAACACAGTCGGCTTGGTTATGAGCTTAGGGTCAGCTGAATTGGTGCCCAGCAGAAGCCTGTTTCGTGCCTACACACCTGACCTGTTGTGACACAGTCTTCGCGCGTCTAGATTGCGATCCTCAGATAGGCGCCTGATCATTGGGTTGGTCTTCTGAATGCTGCCAGCCCGCTCCAAGATCTTCTGTCCCTTAGATGGGGAAGAACGAGTGACTAGAAGTCCAAGTGTTCGCTTGCTTCCCTTCTGGCGTAACCATTCTGCGTGTAGCTATTGGTCAGGCTTGGTGAGGACATTGCTAAGGATTGATTGTGGCAGCTTCGCGGGCGTGATTTTTCCTGAGAATTACCACCAGATTATCAATCTGCTTTCCCCTAGGCGCCTGTCCACTAAAGACGCTGTGGCGGTCTTTATAGCCGCGTCAGAGAGTTGTGTTATTTTCTTCGCAACCAAAGGTCCCGGTATGGATATTGCAAAGTACTCGTTCGGCGAAGAAATTTCCTAGTCAGCTTTCGTCCCGGTCGCTGCATTTTTAGTGTCTGAGTCCTCCAGTGCCTTTGAAAGACGCTTCAATTTTGCGTCGAGTATCCCGAACAAAGCGGAACACTGACATCGGTCTTTCTGAATCTCCAGTGGAGATTGGGTACCGTTTTTGGGGGCTTTCCTCTTGGCTGCGGTATGCATTGCACCCTTAACGTAGAGGCAGCTGGCGCACACAAACGGGTCAGGGGAGTTAGCTAGTCGGTTTATCTGGTCGTCCTGTAAACCCGTGCATATGAAGTGCCACCAGGCCTTGCATGTTTGGCAGTGCATACCGTGTTTGAAGTTCGACGGGCAGCCATTTTGCCCACACCTGTTGTGGTCTATCAATGGCTGTAGAAGGCAATCAGTATAAATTGATGTCACATTTAGGACTGTATGTAAAATGGGAAGTGTGCGGAAAATATCAAGGGTTATCTTTCAAAGGTTTTGTTAGATTAATAAAATTCAACAATTACTCGTGTGTACTCTGTGAACAGACTGAAAAACGAAAAAATTCTTTCACAAATTTGCACGAGGGAAAAACGAAACAGATTTCGAATGTACCGCGGCGCTTACCGATGTAAGTCTAATCTAGAGACTGGCTGGACATCATATGTCTTTTGACTGATGGGGCGCGCGAGCTAGTTTCGAATAAACATGAGCGGCGCCAGCTGCATCCACCCTACACGTGGGACTGAGCAATTTTACTTAGGAGCTTCCGGCATTCATGGTGTGCTGGAATGATCGATGTTACACTTTGTAGCGCACAACTCATACCTTTGACATCATTTCGTGTGGGGAAGAGACAGGACCAGATCGTTAAGGTTTGAAGACGACGGGCAAAAATGGAACGCGAGAAGGTCAAAAAGAGGCATTTCGCTTCGTACATGTTGCGGAAACTACAAAGTGAGAAGAATGATGAACCAGAACAACAAACTTGGTGCGGTAGCCTGATTGTCATGATCTAGCCGCTCAATGTGAACTAAGGTCTACAATCACCGACGAGACGCATTCGGCCTTAGATTGCTGGGCTTTTAGTCAGGGTCATAAAAACCAGAAGTGAGGATGATAAAGTGGAGGAATCAGTAATACGTCCGAATGGTGGCGTGAATCTCAAGATTTTGGCGTAAACTGAAACTGTACAGACCCGCTAGTGTCAGTGCTGGAGGGGGAGTTTGGAGTTCAAGTTCCTTGATTGCTGGGTAGTCAGGGTCATAAAAACCAGAAGTGAGGATGATAAAGTGGAGGAATCAGTAATACGTCCGAATGGTGGCGTGAATCTCAAGATTTTGGCGTAAACTGAAACTGTACAGACCCGCTAGTGTCAGTGCTGGAGGGGGAGTTTGGAGTTCAAGTTCCTTGAGGGTGGATTTCGATGCTAACGCACAAGACGGAACGTAGACTGCACAGAAAATGAACGATATTACGAGGAGCGTAAAACGAACGTCAACGAGATGTTTATAACCAAAACGGAAGATTCGGCGTGTAAGAACGACCCGGTCCCGAGGGGCTAGGGAATCATCGAAAGTACGGACTGAAGAGTTGCGAGTGTTCTGTCAAACTGTGTATGGCGGTGCCACGCCATCATTGAATTGAAATACGTCGGTTTCTGGACAGCCTCGTGACGTACGTCATGTTTGAGGTGTTTGGGCTGAGATATGCAATTCTGAAGGCAGCGGGATTCTTTTGGGGGTTGGTCCAGGGAATCCGCCAATGTAAAACAAAGCCATTGTGAGAACTCAGGTAGTTTTTGGCGCCGATGTGGATATATTGGGGTGTAAAGCATAGATCGGATGGAGCGAAAAACGGACAGACACGGCGTCCGAAGTTCGAAGCTTGGGGAAAAGAGAGATTGAGATGTTTCCCAGAGAAACTTCAACATACAGACATATGTCGCGCGCAATTCATAATGACAGTCGGATCATCCACCAACCACTTTAATCCTGGAAGTAGGAGTTATATCTTGAAAACGCTAAGCCATTGCAGCTCGAAGTGAGCTAGCCGGCTTTGGTGAATACTTCTGCCAAGGCATTTTTCCGGAACAGCGCCTTCTGAGATGCGGAAGCGCGATTCAACATCCGTATGTTAAGACGAAAGAATGAGAAATGTCAATTCAGATGAACGATTGAGCTTCCACAGATTTTGCATTAGCCATTTTTTGTGGGGCTCACCAAATCCATACATTATTCTGGCCTCATAATTTCATGCATTATAGCCTCATTTAAAGTGGGTGACAGTTCTCGCTATGCTAATGACCATATTTTATATAATAATACCGTCTAATTCAAAGAATTCACTTACCCTAAAACCTGGCTTCCCCAAACGAATCACCTGCGCAAAGGGGTGTCGAGAAACATTGTATATATGGACATCCGTGCTTAAGAAATCATTACTCCTAAAAGATCACGCCTTCCGGGAATTCGTGGTCGTCCGCTGGACAGTAGTCCGCATGATGGCAACGGCGGTTGTGTGGCCGCTGGATCAGATTATAGGCAACGCTGAACTCGGCACTTTCACTATTTATGTAAATAGGGGACATTCAGTGTTTTCATCATGCGGCTGACACAATCCAACCCACTTTTGGGTAGCAGTTCCTCAAAGTAAAAATCCGGTGACGGCCGTCTGTCTAACGAGGTAATCTCCAGCAAGGCCTTTATCTTATTGTGACTTTCTGCACCAAAATACTGAGGACTCAATTGGTGGCCTCTCAAATCGTTGTATCCGGATCCCAGAATTCACATACCCACGCATGACATCAACTGTCTAGGCTCTTTATGCCGGTGTCACTTCTGTCGTTCAGTAGCTCCCAGTCAATTCGAAGACCGAAAAATTGTGCAGTGCCACTGGTTTATTTCACAGCACTAAGTAGTTAGCTTCTCAGCGCAAAAACTGACCTAAAAGCATATGAAAGTGAGCTTAACCAGGCCCTAACCGCTGCAAGGACAGTCGCCGAGCGATTGGTAATCCCGCACCAACCACTCAAACTGAAGTAGGTAGCCGTCTAATAAAATTTCGCTCTCTAACCCTGGAAATCTCTTCCATACTTCCGCTGTGGATTGGTGAGTTCCCGATAAAGTACAAAAGACGACCGGATTAACGTACTCAAAACACGGCTCGAAATAGGTTCCCTAGTATCTCTGGAAGTCTACGCGATTAGTGAGGATGAAAGTGAGCAAATTATTCAGAGAATACGATGTACCTTTAGATCAAGTTTTTTGTTGGTGAGTGAGAAATGTATATATGCGTGAATATAGCCAGAAAACTAAGTACCGTGCAGTATCGAGCCTTGTAACATCTTCAGATTTATTTTCAGCATGCACGAAAAACAGCCTTCGGTGTTGGTGCATTTGAAGGATCGCCTTCCGGTTGATAGGACTAGGAACTGTGTATATAAAATAAAATGTAACGGCTGTACGAAGGTTTATATAGGTCAGACAGCCAGGGAATTGCACACCAGAATCGGTGAGCACAAGCGTTCCGTTAACAGACCACCGAGAAACGCAGAGGAATACCTAGCGTTAGTCAAAGATTCAGCAATGGCAGGGCATGCTCTAGACACCGGGCATAAGATAGATTTAGAAAATGTGGACATCCTGAGACGGGGTTTAAGATTCACACCACAGCGACTGGTGGCCGAGGTGGTGGAAATCGCCAAGCATCCCAGTGTGAATAGAATAGAGGGGGTAGAACTTGCAAACGTGTGGAGAGCGGTCCTAGATCAGCCGAGATGAAACGAGGCGGTGTGCAATCATCAGTGAAATCGCCTGAGTCTAAAAGTACAAAATCCAAGTCGAGTTAGATCCAATTAACCATCCCACCCCCATCCCCAAACTAATTGTCCCAGCACCCTTGGACGAACACAGGTGAACGAAATCTGTGAACGACCCCAAGAGGAATTTTCCATTAAGGTGTCCTAGACTGAAGAAGCAGGGACGAAAAAATCCGGGTTCATCATAAAGACGAACCCTCCCTAACCGATCTATCGTAAAGCTTAGTCATCGCACTAATCAACAAACAGGGACATCAGACTGAACACCCAGCACTGATCACGTCACTAGTCATAAGGAATCTCACGGATTGGCTCCCTGACTGCCTTAAAAACCCAATCAACCTACTTACTTACTCACTTGGCCTGACGAAGCTTTTGTGTCAAAAGCGAAACGTTGCCCAGCAATAAATCCATCGATTGTTTACCAAACCCCTCTGAAACGAAGCCTTTGTCGAGCTTTCACTAACAGTTCAGGAACATACTGTTCGTCGGCTGGGTTGAGGTGCGTGAACAGTGACATGGCTTTGCAGAAACAAAAGCCACTAAAAGTACCTTAGTGCAATAATCGCTGGGCTCCGGTTCAGAGGAAGAACAAGTTGAAAAAACTATTCATCAAAAACGTTTCGCTGAGACGGAAAGTCTAGACCATGGGAGAATTCTTCGTTGGAGAATATGAGCTCCAAGATTTTGGAGCGTTGATTTGTGTGGAATATAACTGACCGCCTTTTCAGGGCTTGATAGGTACAACGCTGATATGAGTACTTCGTCTGCAGACCGTGCTAATATGTTATTTTAATAAGTGTATGTACATCGCTTAGGAAGACTCTGGGTGAAGTCCGAGATGCACCAGGAATATAAAGTTGTTTGTTGCACGGTGACCTGGAGTGGCCCGCTTCAGAATGCGTCGCACTACTTCGCACTGTAAACTGATGAGTCATGCAGGCTAGTAGCTACAAGGCAATGAGTAGTCATAGGATTTGTAGGTTTTTGTGACAATCACTTACTCTAAGCAGATGGAGGGCGACTTTGCCGAACTCCTGAAGAAACGCTGAGTGAAACACTCCTTTGTTGTGGCTTACATTATTCCAACGAGTTAAAGGGGATTTCTTCGTGCAGGAGGTCACGAACATTCGTCGTATCACAGTAGTTAGAAGGTGATAGCATCTGCACCGTCCCAAGGTTGAGTGTGATGTCGTAGCAGGTCAGAATAAATGTCTGCACAAAACTTGCGGTAGAATTCAGATATAACTGTTGGGATATCCGTGAGTTTAATGTTTCTGCTCAATAAGGAGAAGGCCGTAGGTCTGTTACTTTGACGGTGTCTCAACTTCCTAAGTAGAATATTTCTTCGTAGTTGAGATTTAGACTCATGGCCCATTTATTTAGGTCCAGTTTGCAGATTTACGATTAGAAGCCGTTCTACATATTGTAAATGGCAGCTCTTCGTCTTTGGATGACACATTCTTGAATAATTGCTTGAAATTTTCGCTATAGCGCGCTAACTAATCCCACCAATTTCGTACAACAGTTTATTCCGCCAAATTTGATAAGCCATTCTTTATTTCGATTGAAGACCTCTGGGAGTAGTCGCTCGGCAGAATTGCGGCCCTAGTCTTTTTAGAATTTGTGAGTAAAACTTTTGCTCGTGCGTAGACATGTTTTGTAACTGGCACCCACACTCCTGGCAAAGAATGTTTTAATAATGTGTTACATTTTGATTATACGCTTTCGTCACATTTAAAGGTGGGGTTTACAATATGGCACAGATATGTTGCGATATGAACAGTAGTCTCGTAGTGCCGGGAGTAAGGCGTTTTACTTTAAACATATTCTCATCATACTCCGAAAACCCATGTGCAGCAGTTGTTTCGCTGCATATTTGAGTGTGTGACGCACGGAGTTGTCAAAAATGTGCCGAAAAATTCGGCGGTTTGAGTATATTGACTAATGGTTGATCACTTAGCCGCTGATGTGTTCTGTGGACAATTTAGATGAACGTGTAAGTCCGTGGGCGGGTGAGAAAGCTTCTTCGTTAAAGCTCTAATGCGAGAGAAACTGGAGTTTCTCATTTATTCCCTCCCTCAGTTGCTATAGCCTCCAGTTTTTACCTTCTACATTAGGCTTTCTGGACATTTAG